TCTCTCTCACGAGAAGAAAGCAGATATAACGCTTCTCGTTACATCGTGTGCACATGCCTTGTCTTTTTTCCCCCCGAAATTTACGATCGAAGTTAAACTCTTTTTCTCTTCGACGAGTTTTGTCTTCGATTCTCATCGGAGGAAGCGGAGGTATAATTAACGGGGTTGTAAAACTATTTACCATATACGTTAAACGCTCTCCTAGTTCCGTTTTCTTTGTCAAGCTAATCGACAATTTTTAGAGGACTTAATTGTGGTAGCGCGTCACAGTTTCCAATTCTCGTTCGTTCTAACACTTTTATGCGTTCGACTGTCGACGCGCCGGGTTTAGCGAAACGTAAAAATCGCATCGGGCTTCTTGCGCGATGTGAAAGCATGTTTTTCGAGTCTAATGTTGTTTCCACATTGAGATTTCCCAAAGTGCGCGTCACTTTTGCATTGCTTGGCTGTAAGGAAAGTGGATTCTTGCAATTGAGATTAGGAAAAAAAAAAAAAAAAACAAATTACACCGAATTTTTAAAGAGACAAAATGTAAAAGTGTCAATAGGAGCCATTCGCAGAATGTTGTGCGGAAAATATGCATATATATATATATATATATATATGTGTGATTTACACGTGAAATTTACACGTGAGTTTTTTGAATTGAAATTACAATTCTTAAAATCATATAAAATGCTAAATTTATGTTATTTAAATGTTGCAAAAGTTTGAAAAACGACAATAAAAAAATGTTGTATATAAAAAAGGAAGTTTGCAACTAAGTATTACGGTCGATACGAGTCAATGTGTGTTTCCCCGCACGGAACACAGGAAATTCGAATTCGAATTCTCAGTCAAAGTGTCGTTTTCGACAATGGATTTTTTCATTTTCGCAGAGTGTAAATTAGATATGTCGTGAGAGTATATTTCACACAAAAAATTTGACACAACCAAGACACATTAGATAAATCAACATTAAATAATCAATTCATAATCATAGATTTTGTTGTAACTGAAATGCAAATAAACACGACAAGAATATCGTCGTTCGTCTGCAATACGAAAATTGCAATCGCATGAAATATTAATGCGATTCAACTCGATTTGAATAAGACAACTCGTTATGTTGTTTCAAAATTCCGAAAGTTTTTTTTTTTTTTTGGAAAGAACTCTCAGCCTCAACTGGCTCTCTTCAAAGCATTTATGTCATAAAAATTGTTCGTTAATCTTTTGTGTAAACACGAGTTCTCTTTTCTCGTTTTAACACTTTGTGCGGATGATTGTTGTTAATTTCAATGGCAGCTATAACGATACCACTAAAAGTATTTTGGTTTATTTAAGTATTACGACTCTTATTGTCTCTTCTTGTAAAAAGGCTAACGCGATCTCAAGTTATGTTATTGATGAAGTTAACGAGCTCACACAAAGAGCGTGCGTTTAGATACAGCAAATATTAAAAGTTTTTGCATTATGTTTTTTTTTATCTTTATTTCTTTACGTATTCCGTTAATACATAATATTGAAAGAAAACAATTTTAAACAAAATCTAACATTTTCATTAATAAAAAACATATTTTTTAAGTTTAAGTAAGAAGATTACATTATTTGACAATGTGTGAGTAGATAAATTTCGAAATACTAAATCATATGTTCACACGCACACACAAAGTCTTGATCAATTTGTTATAAGATTCGTAACGCATCGCTTGTTCGTAATGCCTTTATTTATCGTACACAAGTATAACTTGTTATTACTATGTCGTACAAATCAAATCTTTGATTTGGAAAATTACAAACCAGTACGGATACATTCATCGATAATGTCACGTAACATTGCAATAAATGTTTTTTATATTACATTATTTCAACAAGAATAATTTGATTAAAATTTGCAAAATTTATTTTTGATAATGTATTTACTATCGATGAACAACCATTTCGGTATACTGAAATTACAGTCTTTGTTGTCCTGTGTCTCTTTGTTGGCAATAGAAACAAATTCTTACAACGCATTAATCGTAAAAAAAAAAAATCCATGAATGTGTGTGTGACCTATGAGGAAAAGATTACTAAAAAGATTGCTAAATTTGAGCGCGTTCACAATGCTGACATGTTAATTATTTATATGTTCATTCCTTAAATTTGTCTAGTCTAATTTTTTATTTAGTCTTTTGGTCGAAAACTTGCAGCTATAAATTGCCAATACACAGTTACATATGTTTATTCATCAGAACAGATCGGGAAAGTCCTGCGTAATATCATACTTGTTAATTCGTTTGCCGATTGATTCGTTTGTTAAAACATTTGCTAATTATAGAACTGTTCGATATTCATCGACTATATGATTTGTTTATATCCCATTATGTTCAATTAATTCGCGGTATTTTTAAGATTTTTTATATTTTATTGCTTACGACATAGTTTACAGAATTGTTATATTCAACAAATTTATCGTCTGCTTTGCTTCTTGGTTACAACGAGATATTGCACAGCACGTGGAAATTACAAACTGATGAGTCAATGATAGAATTTTTTATTTCTAAAGTATTTTACACTGCGCATTACGCTCGCTTATACATGTGTTTGGTGTCGATTCAAAAAAAAAAAAAAAAAACACACATTCCATTTCACTTGGATACACGAAATCACGACGTGCTATTAAGAAACTGGCTCGAAAACGGTCCAGCGACCTTGTGCCGAATATTACATGTTTCGAGACGGTTGGGAAACGTAACGCATTTCATGCGCTTGTATGTGTGGAGGTTTACATTAAAGCAGGTAGTTGACCATGCAAAGCGGACGTTCACGTAAAAATGCTGACGAATGAACTGTCATCGCGCTGAGAAAATCTTTTGCGCGGGACGAGCAAAAATTTTTTTTAAACGAACAAAGTTTTTTCTCTTTGTTTTCTTTCTCACAAATTAATCAAAATATTCCACGCCATTGAATCTTCTTTTTAGTTTTCTATTTATAGATCTCTTATTTTAATTATCATTCTGTGTGTTGTGAAACACAGAACGCGGCATTTTTGCGATAACGCGTCGCAGGATGTCTTCTTTTCGAATAAAAACAAAATGTTTCTAATACGCGCCGGACTGCGATCGCACGGATGTACTTTATAGCGCAATATCTAGATTGTGAAATTCAGGCAAACTTCTACTTACGAACTTTCAAAGAACTCGTTTTTATGTGTACTTGAAATGTTATACGCGAACTAAATAAAATAATTGCTCTGTATATGCAATAAAAAAAAAACATTGATATTTGTTTTTTTCAACAATATTTGTAATATTGTTTTTCTTTGAAGTTGGAATAGGAGATTAGAATTGTGGAATAACGCGTTAATATTAAAAAGAAATTTAATATTTTCTGTGATCTCTTTGTTGAAAATTATATTACCCTACATTGCCAGTGTTGAAAAAATATCACACAAAGGATGGCTTTTGCAAGGTGCAAACTTGACCCACTTTCGATCAAGCAAATATGTTTGGAAGTTATGAAAGATGAAAGTTAATGCTAAACTTAATTAGTGTGGCAACTCTTTCGGCAAATTTATTATAGTGTGAAATTTATGTATGTGACACAGCTATATTTATACATGTATTACAATACAACGTATATCGAAAATAATTTACTTGTTCCACTTCATTTGTAACACTTCGCAAAGGTAAAACAGATCAAACGCAGTATTTTAACGCAATTAGAGTAAAGTTGTGGTATTGGAAAGATGAATTCAATGTTTTTCCACATAATATAACGAGATTATTCTGTGTTACTATCAATATCAATTGCAATCACATTATATCGTTTGTGTTTTTGCAAAAACTCGTTTTAATTGAGGATAAAAGATACGATAAAAAGTTTTTTTTACTTATCTCACAAGAAAAATGTTAATATATAGGAAGTGTTTCTCTTATATAGTAACTATTAAAAAAAATAGAGTTAGAAAAAAAATTACTGCGTTTAAATGCGACTTTGATAATTATCAAGTCTGGTTTATTGAAAACAAACAATATTTTCATGGTCGTATTTTCACACGATCGATATAATTATTATGTACAAGCCTTATTGATAATTATGATAATTATGCAGTGTTCTGTGTGTGTGTGTGTGTGTGTGTGTTACGTATTACACATTAAAGGAAACGTGTGAAAAATCTTGCGCTCAGATTTGAATAGATTTTAGAAGGTGGCAATTTATAAATTGATTAGGTTACAAATGAATACGTAATTTTCTTTCTATATACACACGAGAGATCACGATATTATATTTTAACAAAAATTCTATCATAATTATTTCACTTTTTATATATATTATAAATTTGAATACAAAAATGATTAATTAATTAATCATTTAATCATTAATGATTTATTAATTTTGTTAATTGAACCGAATCAATCAAAAGAAGTATCTCCATTTTTCAATCAGTCTAATTTTTTTTTTTTTTGTAAAAATACTACGTTCCTATATAAGTTTCTTATATGGTCACTTCACGGGAGAGAAACAGAGACGATCCTTGCACTAACCCTTCGTAGGACACAGCGTACTGCTTTACTACTTGAAATAGATAATTTCAAATTACGCGAAGATGTGAACATAAAAAAAAATCATTTTTTAACGCAAGATTCGTTTTTACATCTCGACATACATATATATATGTAATCTGAACGATACGATGATAAATAATATATTAATATCTCGAGATAATTAATGTGTATCTATTTTCGATTTTTCCGTATTTTTCTCGCAACGCATATTCTCTTTTTCGAATTGTCAAGATCGATCACTCTCAAGAGTGCTTACAGTGCACGCGCAATTTTTACGCGGCACAAGTTTTTTTTTTGCAACTCGCGCGCGCGTCGATCCGTTTAAGGAATCGGTTTCTCGCGCGGCGGAAATTCGCGTTTTGGGTCGTTCCTCGAACGACCATTCCTCGCGCGCTCGAGCGAGTGTGTGTCCCCGCTCGCGCTCGATTTGTCTCGCGAAATTGTCAAAGTTTCACACGAAAAAGCGCTTACCTTCACACTTCGCGCCGGGTCGTAGAACAAAAAAAGTACTGCTCCGATCGACACTGTGCACTTCACCACTTCCTCGTTTATTTGACTATCTTCGTCACCGAAATCACCGATCCCTGAGTGATTCAGCGACGTTTGCATCAAACCGAGCTACCCGTCAAACGAACCATTCGAGATTCGTTTCATTCGACTATTCGTTTATTTCAACACTTTGCTTTATCGCCGCCGTCAATCCGGACGGACACCACCGGATAGATAGATTCCGATCACAAAATGAATTATTTCCGAATTAACGCGCAAAAGGGTCTTTCGAGACAATTACCGATATGCACTTGCGCACCTTTCTCGCTCTCGCAGAACCCTTTTCTCCTTTTTTTTCGCGGAAGTTGAAACACAAATGTTCTACAATTGTGCTACATGCACTCCCGCAAATGGCACCCACGAGGGCCCTTAGAGATGAAAGATTGATATATATATTGTTAGACGAAAATATATATTTTTTGATAGTATATACCGCGAATGTGTGGTTGTCACGCACGTTTTTTTTTTACTTTCCGCCCGACGTATGTAAACGCGTGTACACGCGTGCGGACCTATTCGTGCGTGAGTGACTTATAGGTCCAACGGCCGATGCTGTGAGAATAGTCCGCGGCACGGCAAATCCGCGGCTTAAGTATTGGTAAAACCCAAGTGGGGTTCACGAGCGCGCGGTGCATGTGAGAGGGGCTGTGCATAGCGGGGCCTTAGGTGATCGTCTGCAAAAACCCCCGCACCACACTCAGTCAAGGTCGTTTTTCTCAGATGGTCAACCGGAGAGAAGGAGAAGAACGGTATATGTGTGTGTGTGTGTGTGTGTGTGCGCGCGCGTGTCTTCGCGATACGATAAAGGTATTCACCGGGCCCCTCTCCCTACCTTTTAACGGATTTCGACCCACGTTCGAAACCCGTTTCTGCTGTGAGGACCACGAGATCGATTTTTGTTTAAATGGGTTGTATTTGAATTAAGTTGGAACTTCTGATGGAATTTAATTGTTGGAAGTAATTTCTCGAATTGGTTTCTCTTTCGAGATGTATCTTTTCATACACACACGGTTTTCCCATATTACACTTACCGTTTTGCAAGATAAAACGGTTATCGATTGACACGTGGTGTCGTATCTCTCGGTGCTTCTCACTATCCGTAGGATTTTCAAAATTCGTTTTTTTCGTTCGTTGGAAAATCAAACTTGCGAAATGGACTGTGCGGCTTTACGTAGATACTGTCATATTATCTTTTTTTTTTGTAACAATACATCACTCAGTTACCTGGATCAGTCAGCGTTTATTAACGTAAGCAAAATTCCAGGTAGTAATTAAAAACATTGTAAAAACGAGGAGATGTAAGAACAACATAAAAAAGAATATATAAAACAATACATATTAATGATATTTAATGCAAAGCAAAGTAATATCGACGCAAATCGAAGTATTAAGAAACAAAATATATAACATATATTTCTTGTATGCATAATATACGTAACAATATGCGTATAATACAAATAACGCGTTGTCGATATTGATACTGACATTCTTCTTGTACCCGGTAAAAAATTTTTCATGTATAAAATTGTATGGACATATTCGGCACACACACACACACACACACACACATATAAATTTGCATAATTAGATGTAATAATTTTAATTTGTGTATAAGTACACCGAAAAAATTGTATTCTTGTTTTGAGGATATCCCACTTACTTTAAATATATTTTATACTAAAATAGGCGCCAAGAAGAGTTTCTTATTTTAAGAGGAAAATCCTCTAAATAGTAATATTGATAAGAATATATACTGATTAGAATATAAAAAGCC